AACGCAGAGGTGAGGGCAACACGGGAGGGCAAGGTCGGCGAGGCAGAGAGGGGAGTTGCGGAGCAGGAAGCATGGGCGGGGAAAACCTGAGACAGTAAGAGTGCAGAAAACTAAACGCGAGGAATTTTTTTTAGCATTTTTTTTTCTTCGGAAGAGGCGATGACAGCTGCGATGCTTCGGGTTTTTAAAAACAAAATTTCGGTCTGTCTGTCCGTCTGTCTGTACATTTGTCTGTTTATTTGCCTTAACGATACCTCAAACGGCACCAAACGGCCAACCCCATCCGCAGCGCCCACCAATATTGCTCAAGATTTCGCGTTCATAGCTGTGCGATTGCCAATTAAAAAGCAAATGTTGCACACATCTGAGGTGCCACAACAATGCTTCGAGGTTTTGTATGTCTGCCTTTATACTAGAAGAGGCACACACAAGTAACTTTAGAGTTACTTGTGTGTGCGTTCATCGCGCTGCGCTGACAGTGCAAGGCGATGCTCAGAGAAGTGTTGCTTTGCTACGATGTCACGGTGGTGGCACCTGCCCATTGCTTTGCATTCTACACCTTGTGACCTCCGAGACTGGCGCGCATCTTTCTCCGTGGGCTGCATGCCTTTGTTTTTGAAGATAACTGCCAGATGGCGCTTGTGTTTAACGTGCCTCGATGCGCTCATTCGCCTTTGCTAGACGCTCAAGGCACTCCAGAATACCATTCACCAATTTTCTTGCGCAGTACATCAAATAAACGTTTTGTTCACTCTCTCCAGACACAAGCTCGTTTGTCAGTCGTGTTCATCTCTTTTTGGTGATTACTTTTCGCGTTCGCAAAGCAAGTCGGCGTTTTCGCTAAGCTTCAGCAACTAGAAGGCAAAAAGCAGGCTATTGTGACCAAAGAACTGAATCGCACCTCTGGAATGTTGATGAGCCGGAGGCCTTTGCGCTTCAAAATTTGTGGTGCACGCGTAAAAAAATAATAATAAAATCGCAGACTTGTAAAGCAAACGTGCATTTTTTGGTGTTCACTTGTGCATTTGTTTTTCTCGTGAAAAACGAGTTCAAGGACCCACTGTTATAAAGGTAAGTCGTTTTTGGTCGGTGAAAAATGAGTATTTATGGTTAATTTTTGAGCTTTCACTATAACGACCTTTCAAAATAATGAACAAGTTTCAGCAGCCCCCTGAAGTTCGCTGTACCGAGATATCACTGTATTGAGCTATTTTTTTATTATACAGTGGTACAAGACACCAAAAAAAGTGCTGACATCAGCACACAATCAAACAGAATGCAATCAAATGTAATCGTTGAATAAAACAGGTCACTGACCAATGTCAAACAAAAACAATGACGTTTCGGGACCCGTACGGATTCATTGTTCACAATGGAATGACGGATGAGCAACAGGTTCTTATGTAACGTTGAGCGCATGACGCAAAGTCCGGGAGTACACGTGGTTTAGTGTGCCAGATGATCTATTGATTGTGTTACTTGTCGTCTGAATGATTAGTGATTCGAGGTTCAGCCTGGTTGTAAAATTCTTCTCCATGGCCATGATGCGTGCGTTGTCCCAGCTTATCTCGTGGCCCGTCTTCTCGGCATGCTCTGCGAGTGCATTTGTCACTGTGTGGCCCTTGGCGACGTCATTCTTGTGTTGCATCAGACGTCTGCAGTAATTTCCACTCGTGCCAATGTACACTGATTCGCAATCGGCGCATGGTATCTTGTAGACCACACCAGGAAAGTGTTGCCGAGGGAGAGGATCCTTCACATTTAGCAACTCAGCCTTAAGCTTGCTTGCTAGGCTTCAACTCCTGTGACGATGACAAGCCACAAGAGTGTGCGGAGTTGGCCAATCCAAGTTTCGCAGAAGCCGCCGTGGCCATAGAACTCCTCCACAGGTATGTTGCACCTCAAAGCGACGCTGAGAGTAACGGAGCCTTTCTCCTTATTGAAGAGCGCGTGGTACTCTCTAGCGGACGTGAGAAGTGGCAGTCAAGCGTGCTCGATTTTTTTAAAGCTTGTTGAAATAAATTATTTGAACTCAACGCAGTCCTGTTTTTATTCATTTTCGGAGCTTTCTTCACTCTAGCATTTTCCCAATTATTACGTTTTTTTCCCGGTTCACTGAAAACGTATAAACAAGGTTCCACTGTAGTGAATTCTCTAGAGTACCTGTGTGATGATTTGATCAATGGTTATGTCACCCATAATAACAATTGAACCCACAGGGAAAAAATTATCACACAGCATCTAAAAAACCAAAGAAAATTTACGTCTTTTCTAAGAGCGGGCCTATACAGAACCACTGCGAGCACAACTTGTCAATGCGTAGAGCTAAGCACTCAACGTCATCATTTATAACGTAAAAGTGAGGCAACTCAAGTAAGCGTGTCCTCAAAGTTTGTAGCGACGCCCCCTTCCTTCTTATCACGGCGGCACAGCTGCTCAGAATGGTAGCCGGATATAAAAGGCACTTCATTTTCGTGAATCCAAGTTTTTTGGAACATTATCACGTCAATTGACACGGTATGAGAGTGAAGAAAATGGGTAATCACGTCAACTTGGTTGTTAATGCTTCTGATATTGATATGTAGAAGCGAAAAATGTTTTGCAAGAAGAGAGAATTCACAATTGAAGGCATCAGTTGTGTAATAGCTTGTACTATGTTCTAGCTCGGACATGATGAAATGAGGGCGAAAATGTTAAAAAGATGTTGTGCTAGAAAGTATGTTGACAGCCATTCAAAGCAGTATTAGCACATATCTGAATAATATCAGCTTGTGTAGTAATACGGACTACAGATGAGCCTTCATTCTTTCTAGCCAAATTTTTTCCGCTGTTCGTCCAGTTGAACTTCCTGTTGGCAGCTCTCTTTTTTTAAATTACGGCTGAAAGCAGTGCTTTATTAGCCTGTGTAAGACTCTTCTTTACGTAGATAGGCGTCATCGCCTCACTTCCAAGCACTGAACTGTCTTATCTTTTGTTTTTTGCATTTTGACAGGAATGCATTTCGTTTACTTCTACGCACAAATTGAGTGATCATGCTTTGTGCATTCTGCTTTGAGCTACGTACCCAGTGACACGTGTCGAGATCAGCTGCTTGTGTATTACTACACAAACACTTTTGCTGTGAGTGCACAAAAGGGAAAAGGAAACTAACAACACTAGGAGACTGTCAAACAAAAGGTCTCACCTGTAAGGCAAAATGAATTTATTTAATGTCCATCAAAGCACCGCTGCCGAACTGAGTTATAGACGAGCTGCTGTAGGTATATATCACAGACGGTTCCCTGGTGCCATTTGTGTCTGTCGACTCGGCGCAGATTTGTCACGCAGGTTCGCTAGTCACTTGGGCTGGTACCGTCCTTGATGTTTGGCAATGGCCACACAAAGCCCACATCCCATTGCAAGATGCTGCGGAAACCACACCAGTCGTCTTGCGACAGCTGTAAGGCAAAATGAATTTCTTTAATGTCCTTCAAAGCACCGCTGCAGAACTGAGCGATAGACAAGCTGCTCCAGGTATATATCACAGGCTGTTCCCTGGTGGCATTTGTGTTTGTTGACTCAGTGCAGATTTGTCACGCAGGTTCGCTAGTAGCTTGAGCTGGTACCGCATTTGATGTCTGGCAATGGCAACACAAAGCCCACATCCCATTGCAAGATGCTGCGGAAAATACACCTGTCGTCTTGCAACAGCTGTAAGGCAAAATGAATTTCTGTACCGTGTGCGTGCTGCGAAACACTGCTTCTGAACTCTACCAAGCTGTCTTTGCTTCTGCAGGGCTATGAGGTTATGGTATCAAAAAACAGAATTGTAAAAGTGATACAAATAAAAGAAGGTGAAAATATTTAAAAAGCAGCAGTTCAAACACCTCTTACATAATTGACAAATGCTTGAACGCGAAGTGTTCAAGTGTGAGGTGTTCCGGCTGCAACACATGGCCAACCCACCAACTCTGTCCGGTCACTTGGTGCTTCGAGCACCTGGTCCTGAAGATATGACCCTGTCCACTGCTTTTTCTGCCCCGTTCTTTTTTCGAGCAGCCACGGACTGGAACGGCCTCCCCCGGGACATCGCCAACCTCGCCTCATCATCTGCCTTTTAAGACCGTATTATTGATCATCTTCAATGCTAAAACAACCTTTACTGTTTATTGTTAACATAAATAAAACCCCACCCCTTATGTAATGCCCCTCCTAGAATGGGGGGGCCTTTAAGGTAATAAACTGAACTGAACATATAGTTCCAGTATTAAAAACACAAATATAAAAACAACATTAGAACAGCGAAGTGATAATGGTGTATGACAGTGAATCTTCAATGTGTCAATAATAAGGTAAAAGTTAGTAAATATGACAGGCCTAAACTCGGAAGAACTATTTCAGACTATTTACCAATGCATTATGATTAGTAATGCCAGTCATGAGAGACGCGGCATCGTGTTATTGAGGCAGAAAAGCGTGCGCTAGCTGATGTTAAGTTAGTAAATCTGACATGCCCAAACTCGGAAGAAATATTTCAGACTATTTACTAATGCATTATGATTAGTAATGCCAGTCATAAGAGACGCGGCATTGTGTTATTGAGGCAGCAAAGTGTGCGCTAGCTGATGTGAATAAGTCCTGGAATAACAATTAGCATATAGGTTTATTGAATTCATTTTTTACCGTGCATGTATCAGGTGTGCCTGATATTTCCTGGCAGTGGTGCTTCCTGGTATTTTTTTGAGCTTGTCTGAGCTGTGGAAAGATACTAACTGGATGTTATTGTAGCAAATTACTTCACTTGCATAATGCCAAAGGAGCAGCATTGAGCAGCATATGGGATCCAGAAACTGCAATTTCTGTTGTAAAAACTGTCATTCAGCCGTCTCCGCAATCTCGTACCAGTGCCACTGGCACATACGATGTTTACATGTTGTAGATACTTGTACTACCTGGCGGCTATCTACTATTATTGTCCAGTGTGCTTGTAGATATATGAGTGTACATTTGTGGCTTTTCAGGTTTGTGGCTTTCTTGGGCTGCAACACGTGGCCAACCCACCAACTCTGTCCCGTCACTTGGTGCTTCCAGCACCTGGTCCTGAAGATATGACCCGGTCCACAGAGCCCAAGGAAGGACGCACCATTGAAGAAGAGGAGGACAACGATGAAGGCAAGCAACCATCGTTCTGTGTCTTGCTGCACGGGAGCCTCAAGGTTGAAGGCATGGTGGCCCTCTGCCAGATCGGACCGGACTGGTACGGCATGCTCTACTCCTGGGCTGACAGCAAGAAGAAGTCCAATCTCATGCTGTCTACCTTTGAGCCAGGGATTGAGGCAGTGCCGTGGCTTGGAAAGTTGGACCACCTGGGACCACAAGCACTGGCACCGTCGGGCAACGAGACACTTCCCGTGAAATCAAATGAAAAGCACAGCTACTCGCACAACTCAGTCGTATGGATCCGCCAGTCTGACCTGCAGGCAGACATCCAGAAGATCCTTCGGCACGCCAGAAAGCTGCCAGAGAAGACGCCAAACTTTTACAAGGAACTGAACCGACTGCGGCGCGCTGCACTCTCGCTCGGATTCCACGAGCTTCTGGAAGGCATGGCCACCATTCTTGAGCGAGAGTGCACACTGCTGCCGGGCTCGGCTCATCCGGATGCTGCCTTGCAGTTGAGCCATGCGTCATCATTTTTGAGGGGCCCCAGCTGCAAGGATTACACCGCTGCATTGACACCGCTGCGAACCAAGTTTTCATCTCAAGACTGACGATTGGAAGAGCACTTTCAATCACAGCTGAAACCACTATCCATCTGTTACCTCTCTCAGCAAAACTGGCACGAGCCATTTGCTTCAGCGTTGATTGGAAGTATATGTTTGTGACACAGGTACAATATCTAGTACAGCACAGTTCGTGTGAAATGGATGCAAATAAATAAAGCATTGTTTATAGAAATCGCCACTTTAATGTGTTCTGTACCATATATATAAGCACCTTAAACATGCCGTAACAACACATTTGAAGACAAATTTCAGTGTTCGTGTGTGAAACCAGTAAGTCTGGTGTTCTCCCGCTGTCTGCCACTGTGTGGGCTAAATTTTCTAGTTGCTAAAGCCGTAACAATATGGAGGTGGCGCACAAACTATGTCCTCAAGTGTTGAAGATTGGGCGAGTTGGTTCGTCATACTTGAACTGGCATGGCGCATTATGGTAAAGAAGAAATGGCCAAGCAGATGGATAGAAGAGGACAGAGCACTGGCTTCCAACTAAATTTCATTTGCCAATCGCATCAAATATGTACACTTGTGCAAGCATAGAAAGAACACCCGTACATATAGCCAAGATTACACACCAATATTGCAACATTACATACGAAAGATTCATGGACAGTTCACCTGATTAAGGAAAGCAATGCAGTCCCCTCAAATCACATGCAACTGTTTGCTCCATCAAACATAAATTGCCGTTTGGGCCATGCACAACTGGTGTTATTTATTATTATTATTATTATTTAGGAATACTGCAGGCCTTAATAGGCCCAGGCAGGAGGGGAAAAGTACGAACAAAAGTACAAAGTCTGCAAATATCAAGAATATATACAAGTAGGATCTATACAAAGCAACAACAAAGTGAATCTACTAACAAGTAAATGAGCACTAAAAGAAATGTGATACAAAGAAAAATAATATACAATATGAGAAGATAAACAATACAGAACTATCTAATCAATGTACAAAGGAGTTAGTAAAATACTGGATCACTGTATTGAAAGAGGAAGGGCTAGATCTAAGATGAAATGGATGCGATAGAGTCGGTGTTGCTGAGTGTACTAAGAGGTAGGCTGTTCCAGTCGGCTACTGTTCGAGGAAAAAAGGAATACTTAAAGATGTTGGTTCTGGTATTGTAAGGCGTTAATGTGGCAGAGTGGCGATGTCTTGTTCGGCGAGCAGTGAGAGACTTTATGTAAGGTTCAGGAGAAAGAGACAATTTATTTTTATACAGTAAGAATAGAAATTTAAGCCTGCGAATTTTTCTTCTTAGTTGCAAGGACTGAATGTTGTGTTGGGCCATTAGGTCACTTGGAGAGTCACTGGTGCGATATTTGGAGAAGATGAATCTTACTGCTTTACGTTGGATCCTTTCTAGCGCATCGATGTTAGTTTTAGTGTAAGGATCCCATACGATAGCTGCATATTCAAGCTTAGGACGGACAAGAGAGGTATAAGCGGTTAGACGGGTCTCGGGAGGAGCATGTTTTAATTTGTGTCTGAGGTAGCAGAGTTTTTTGAAGGCTGAGTCGCAAAGGTGAGAGATGTGGGAGTTCCAACTGAGATTATTAGTTATGATGACACCCAGGTACTTATATTCATCAACCTCTGTAAGAGGCATGGATGCAAGATTATACGTAAACGAAAGTTTATTAATTTTTTTGGTGATTTTCATAAATACTGTTTTATCAATATTAAGCTGCATGTCCCAGCGTTCGCACCATGTAAAAATTTTTTGAAGGTTAGAGTTTAGGGTGATTTGGTCTTGCTGGCAGGTAATTTCATTAAAGAGTAAGCAGTCATCAGCGAATAATTTTATCTGTACAGGTTCAGTAATAGAGTCAACTATGTCATTAATGTATATATTAAACAATAAAGGTCCAAGAACACTTCCTTGGGGAACTCCAGAAGTAACAGCAAGGTCACTCGAACAGCAATTATCAATTGCAACAAATTGCCTACGGTTAGTGAGGTAAGCAGAAATCCAATTTACTAGGTATGAGGGAACGTCCAAATGAACAAGTTTTTCGATTAGTTTCGCGTGTGACACGAGATCAAACGCCTTCCTAAAATCCAGAAATATGATGTCAGTTTGTCCTGATTTGTCGACAACGCTAGCGAGACTGTGAATTACAGTAGTTAATTGGGTTACAGTGGAGAGGCCCTTCCTAAATCCATGCTGCATAGGAGTTAAAATAGCTCGATCATCAAGAAACCTAGTGATTTCGTTAGCAATAATGTGTTCTAAAAGTTTACAACAAGAGGAGGTTAGTGATATGGGGCGGTAGTTTTGAACTAATGATGGATCGCCTTTCTTTAGGATAGGAATGACACGAGCAGATAGCCAGTCGTTCGGAAGCACTGCTGAAGATAGTGATGCACGAAAGATGATAACAAGAAAACGCGATAGCATTTCGGCGTATCTGTGAAGAAACACGTTTGGTAAGTTGTCAGGCCCGGGTGATGATTTTGTTTTTATATTCAACAGCATAGAAAAGACGCCAGGCAAAGAAACAAAACTAAAGTCATCCTTCACCAATGTGTGATTCAGGCAACGGGGAACAGGCGAGTTAGAAAATATACTATTAAAATAAGCATTGAAGTGAACAGCGATCTCTTGTTTAGCGACGACAGGATTGCCCTCGTGCATAATATGGTCAACTGGTTTACTTTTTTTGCTGAGAAAGCTCCAAAACTTGCTGGGAGCAGTTCGGATGAAGTTAGGCAGGGTAAATTGAAAGTAACGAAGTTTAGCTGCCCTAACAGCCTCGTTTAATTTAGCTTGGCATGGTACGATTTCGTCACGAGAAATACCCCGTCGTCTCAGACGTTTGACTTTTCTCTTCGCATGCACTATCTCACGCGTCATCCAGGGAGTAGGTTTGGATGTTTTTTTAGTTCTGCTTGGAATAAAGTTGTCGATACAGTGCATACAAATATTCTTAAATTCGTCCCAAAGTTTAGCAGCGTCATGTCCCCCAAAAGCACTCAGACTATCATCAAGGTAATCTAGTACGCTCTCATCATTGGCACGTGAATAATCCTTTACAGAAACAGTTTTACAACTAGTAGACTTGGGAAGATCGATGGTACAGGAAAAAGCCACAAGTTCGTGATCAGAAATGCCTTGTTCAACAGAAACAGAAAACTCTTGAAAAGTCTGGCTAATAAATATGAGGTCAAGTATTGAAGCAGAAGCAGCGCTAATTCGTGTAGGCTCAGTAACCACTTGCTGCAAGTTATGCATCAAAATAATGTCACGCAAATGTTTATTGTTTACGCTCACATCAGCGCTATATGTACCGCGAATCCAGTCAATGCCCGGTAGATTGAAATCACCTATTAAAAAAATTTTATTGTGTACAAAAGATGCCATGTGTTCATGCAGATCTTGAAGAAATAGCGGAGGGGAATCAGGGGCTCGATAAACAGCAAATAATAGAAAAGATGTATTACGGCATAAAATTTTTAAAGAAAGCGTTTCAAGATTAGCTGTCTGACGTAGGAGAACTGCGGTGATATCTTGCCTCACCAAGACAGCAACACCACCACCCCTTGTATGCCTATCGCGACGGAAAGCACGGTAATCAGAGGGGAAAACGTCCGTATCATCTATTTCGTCATGCAACCAAGTTTCCGTGATGACGACCACGTGTGGGTTATGCCCAAGAATAACCGCTTCAAGCTTATCAGTTTTATTAAGAACACTTCGTGCATTAATGTTCAAAATTCGGAAATCACGAGGTGGAGGAAGTCAGTCCTTTTTTGAAGTGCTACGATAGTTATGAATTTTAACCCTGCTGTTGGTGGGATCGCTCCATATAAAGTAATCGTTATCGACTCGCAGTTTCTCCTCTATCAAAGCGACTTTCTTGCCATCTTTTTTTTCTGTTTTCGCACTGTCCCATAGCAATTTACGTTTTCTGAGTGTTTCACGCGAGTAATCGTTTTGTACGGAAAAGCTTGTCCCTTTTAGCTTGTAGGCGTTTTTTAGAACATCACGTTTTTCATTAAAGTTTTGAAAAAAAAATGATAACTGGTCTTTGTTTACCCGGCTTCCCTAGACGATGGATTCTTCCAATCGAACTACAATTTACATTTAATTTCTCGGAAAATATATCGGTAACAACTTTTTGCTTAAGCTCAGTTTCCGTTTCACCGGCTTCCTCTTGAAGACCGAAGATCAACAGATTAGAACGCCTACTCCTGTCTTCTAAGTCCACAATTTTGGATTCTAGAGATTTTACGGTCCGTTCAAGATCATCTACACGAGCAGCACGTTTTTCTAATTCAGTGAACCGACGGCCCCAATCAGCGAAAATCTTTTCCATGTTATTTTGCTGTGTTCTAAGAGCCGCCACGTCTTTAACCAATTTGGTTTGTCCTACCAGTAGTTCTTGCAGCATTTTTCTATGTCGGGACCTGGATTTGTCTCAACATCACCGCACAATAGAAGCAAGCATGCACAGTACATTTCGTAAGCGATACTGGCACAACGCCGTGGGCACGGCAAGACCAAAAGGCAGCGGTAATCGCTCTTGAACGAAGCAGAGTAATAACTAACCTGCATTAAGCAGAGAAATGGCTTGTGAGGCCACATGCCCGCAGCTGGTCCGCCGTGCCCACTGAAGGTGTGCAGTTTCAGTCGTCCTTTTATAGAGTTGTCGACCGATGTCACATGACGTGCAGGTGGCGCTGGGGTTGACGTGGGTGTGACCAAGGCTGGCATGAGAAGAAAGGTTCCTTGATAAGCCTCCGTCGGTGATCCCGTGTTAAGAAACCACGTGGAAGGAACAGGCACGTTTTGGCAGCTTGTAGATCCGGTAGAACAGAAGTTTGGATGATACGTCGCTCCGGTCAAACCAAAAACGAGCACCTGCATTAAGCAGAGAAATGGCTTGTGAGGCCACATGCCCGCAGCTGGTCCGCCGTGCCCACTGAAGGTGTGCAGTTTCAGTCGTGATTTTATAGAGTTGTCGACCGATGTCACATGACGTGCAGGTGGCGCTGGGGTTGACGTGGGTGTGACCAAGGCTGGCATGAGAAGAAAGGTTCCTTGATAAGCCTCCGTCGGTGATCCCGTGTTAAGAAACCACGTGGAAGGAACAGGCACGTTTTGACAGCTTGTAGATCCGGTAGAACAGAAGTTTGGATGATACGTCGCTCCGGTCAAACCAAAAACGAGCACCTGCA